CGTTCTAGTCGGCAAATTTCAAATGTCCGCTAGTGATGTGGCGCTACAATATTTGGCTATGTCTTGGCTACTTTAATATTATTTTTGTTAAATTTTTGCATGTTTTAGCTGGCAACACTGGCTCGACCATTGAAGGGAGGCCAGTACTGTATTTAAACGAGACTTAATTTTCTAATTATGAGTGGTTGTTTGTTTTGTGAGCAATAAAATAATTTTAAAATAATTTTTAACGGTACAATAGCAACGATTATTATTTTAAAAAAAAATTTGTTAGGCTTAACATAGATGAAAATTCAACACAAAGTTGGTTAATAGCAATATACTAATATACTAATTACATGGGATATACTAATATATTGATACTATACTAATAATGTATTTTTTTCATTCTTTTCGGTTATCCGATTTTTTCAGTTATCCGACCAACCTGAGTCCCCAATTGAGTCGGATAATCGATGCTCTACTGTAGTAATACTTCAAAAATAGACTTTTGAAGCTCTACTATAAGCTAAATCTTATTACATAAAAAGAACTTGGTTTCATCATTATTGATGATGAAACTTGGTTTCATCGTCAATAATGATGAAACCATACTCACTTATTTTATATCCATGAATAACCTAATAAACACTATTTTATTTAAAGTCATTTACTGATAGATGTGTGTGTGTTTCATAGCACTTCAATCTTGTTTGAAGACCATAAATTGAATTGTCAGAAAAATGTTCAATTTTCACATGTAGGAAATGCATGTGCAATAAAAAAGCTCATCCCAATTCAAGGTTTTCAGAAGCAATGTACAATTGTACATTTGAATTAAACTGTATCGTTTTTAAAAAGCAGTATCATATTATTGTTAAAAAAGTCTTCATTGGCAATGAATAAAAACAAACTCAGAAATTAGTACAAAACATGGAAAATTCAAAAGCTAAGGAAAAGTCACATTTAACAGTGTGTTGAAGAATAATACAGGGTGTCCCACTCAAAAATACTTGATCTGATTTGGTTGTAAAGAAATTAACAGATATAATTTCAACAAAGATTTTCTTTCATCAAACTCACGAAATTTCATTTAAAAATTCACCATATCTCTATGTGTACTCAAACAATCACAGTGGAAACATCAAGGCAACAGCTAATTTCCTGCTATGTATACTGCAGAATGTTGTGCCTCATAATGGTGATGGCAATGATAATGCACTTTAATCCTGAAGGTCTCTGACTGAAATTGCTTAAACCATATCTTTCATGTAACCCTACAGAAAGAAATCTAAAGAGGTCATAGATTGGAAAATCTTGGCAGCCAAGCTATCGGGAATCCCACACAATAATCTGTGTTTTCTCTGTAGAAAAGCCATGACTGGACTATAATGCTCACAATTTCACTTCTGCAGATCTTGCAGTGCAAAAAAAACATTCTCTATAAAACTTGATGAGTTTTATACATCTTAAACCATTCATTTTTTATGGAAAATTAAAATCAGGTACTTTCAAACACAACACCCTGTATAATTCAATATACAAGTTCCAGTGTGGGCTCTAGAAACACTATTTAAATTATTGATTTCAAGTTACAAGAGTAAGATAAAAGACAACTTTGTTTAATATATTTACAAAAAGCTCTTTTGGTATTGACTGAAATGAAGTGAAACATATTTCAATAAAGCACAAAAGCCAGAGAATACTTGTTGACTTATAAGCACAGTTATAAGGTACTAAGACTACTTATAAGCCAGAAAATGTTTTACTTGCCAAGGTATTAATATATTTTTATACTTGATGTTTTACAAAACTCAATATTAAATATTATGATAAAATATGTTAGTTGAATAATTCTTATTATATCATAAAGATAATTTTTACAAAAATATTTTTATTATTTATATAAATTATAATTATATAGATGTAGTATTTTTGTGAACATTTCTTTTCATTAAAACATACTGCTAAACACATTGAAGAAACACTATTAAGAAGCTAAACTAATATACTGGGTGTCCAAAAAGGTACTGTGCAAAAAAGTTTTAATAAGAGTGTGGTTTTACGTACAATATTGCAATTTTTTCTACAGCAAATGCTTGAAATGTCTTCCAGAAGCCACAAAATCTAGATATCCAGCAGGTCCAATTCTATGGGAGATTATGCCACTGGCAAAGAAGTATTCTGTAAAACTGTAGGCCAAACATCAGGACATCAGTGTGCAAGCATTAATGCTATCTATTGCAAAATGGAAATGTGGAACATATAACTTATGGATCTTGTATACAATGCCATATGTATAACTTTAATGTAATTACAAATTTCTCACTGCACAGCAAGCTTTTGGACACCATTTAGATAGAACAAGACTGAAAATTCACCTGCCATCTGTCTGCAATAACTCATTCAAGGCAAGTGAGTGAGTGGATTTCTGGAACATTGTTCACTTGATCAGGATGATCAAGTGAACAACATTACATTACATTAGATCAAAATAATACTGTGCACACAGCTAATGTATTTTCATTCTGTTCCTATTTTAAAAAATAAATCTGAATTTTATTTTCTGTATTTTTTTATTCATTACATTAATTACACACAATTAATAATGTTCAATTAAAATGGATATGTATGTATTAAACAATTAAAAACTTTAGGTTAACAAAAAAATTTCACTTTTGGACAGTAAAATTTTAAAAAATAACCAAGNTGTAATGGATTTATGTGGCCCGCGATTAATCTTTCAATATTAGCTACTCAAGTCAGAATAGATCAGTGAAAATTCTAATGAAAAAAAAAAAAAAAAGAAAAAAAGGTAACTTGCTGTACAGTTAGCGTTATCCCTCCATTACAAATCTCTTAAGTAGAGCGTAGAGTGAAAAATGTATCTGTAATCTTATATACAATTTAGTCTCTACGGGTGACACCACAATAAGATCTCGCACCACCTCAAAATCTTCCTAGGGCAGCCTCTGGTTCAGCCCGTAAAAAAGTTCTCTTTCCAATTCGGCCTGGGGGCAAAAACTGTTGGCCACCTCTGAATTAGAGCAACAATTGAAATTAAATGGACTACTCTATCAAAAATTTGAATAATAAATATTTGAAGTTAAAAAAAAATATTTATTTAGTCATAGAAACTTTCTAAGAATTAAATATAAATCATTAATATTTCCATAATAAAATATTTAAAATCAATTCTTCACAAAATTTTATTTGCCAAACTCAATCTAAAANAAACACTATTAAGAAGCTAAACTAATATACTGGGTGTCCAAAAAGGTACTGTGCAAAAAAGTTTTAATAAGAGTGTGGTTTTACGTACAATATTGCAATTTTTTCTACAGCAAATGCTTGAAATGTCTTCCAGAAACCACAAAATCTAGATATCCAGCAGGTCCAATTCTATGGGAGATTATGCCACTGGCAGAGAAGTATTCTGTAAAACTGTAGGCTATGCTTGCACACTGATGTCCTGATGTTTATCAGGACATCAGTGTGCAAGCATTAATGCTATCTATTGCAAAATGGAAATGTGGAACATATAACTTATGGATCTTGTATACAATGCCATATGTATAACTTTAATGTAATTACAAATTTCTCACTGCACAGCAAGCTTTTGGACACCATTTAGATAGAACAAGACTGAAAATTCACCTGCCATCTGTCTGCAATAACTCATTCAAGGCAAGTGAGTGAGTGGATTTCTGGAACATTGTTCACTTGATCAGGATGATCAAGTGAACAACATTACATTACATTAGATCAAAATAATACTGTGCACACAGCTAATGTATTTTCATTCTGTTCCTATTTTAAAAAATAAATCTGAATTTTATTTTCTGTATTTTTTTATTCATTACATTAATTACACACAATTAATAATGTTCAATTAAAATGGATATGTATGTATTAAACAATTAAAAACTTTAGGTTAACAAAAAAATTTCACTTTTGGACAGTAAAATTTNTCCTTTGATGCAAAAGGTGTGGTCCACAAGGAGCTTGCACCTGTTGGATAAACAGTGAACTGTAAATTTTATGCAGAAGTGGTTATATGTTTGAGATAATGTTCAATTAAAATGGATATGTATGTATTAAACAATTAAAAACTTTAGGTTAACAAAAAAATTTCACTTTTGGACAGTAAAATTTTAAAAAATAAACAAGTTAGTTTATTTAATAAATATTTAAGAATCATGTATTAATTGATACTGTATTAATGTAGTAATGATCATGTATTAATTGTACAAGTAATTTTTTTTTAAGGAACAAATAACTATTTATAAATTCTTTTAATAACTTAAAACCAATTCTAAGTTAAGTACTAATATAAAATAATACAAATAGTGTAACTGCTATAAAGTCTTCTTACCTTTAATGTGCTGACTATCAAGTACAAATTTTAAATCATTCACTTTTTGCAAACATTCAGCAGTCTGACGAATCTTATCTTCCTCTAGAAAACCGAGAAGTATTAATTACATATTTTTATACTCACTTAAATCAACTATATATAAATGCAATTTTCTGAATGGTTACTCATACCGGATAAGATTAATTCTAACTTTGCGGAATCTGTCAGGGCCAGTTCATCTGCATAATCGGGATCTAAACACTTCTCTATTTCTTCAACTAGAAAGATAATTGTTCATTAATTTACTTATAAATGAATAATGACTATTAAAAATATTATGAAATAGCTTATTGTATCATAAACTACCAATATTAAATTCCAATCTTTGTAAGGACTTCATACAAGTGTGAACCATAACAATAAAAGATTGATTCTAGAGATTAAAAAGAGTGATGTGAATATTGATACAAGAATTATCTAGATACAAGAATTATATTGTATCTAGATACTTATCTAGATACAAGAATTAATCCAGGATGAACAACAAAATCATTAGCATATTCAAGATATGAACCAGTAATACAAATACATCCATGAGGGCCAAACTATAAATCACAAGCTGCATGAGGCTCTAGAAGAGCCTAATGCAGCTTGTGATCCTTATTGTAGTTCCTATATACTTATACAATTTCTTTTTATAAACTTGGCATATACTACTTATACATACAGGCATACCTCGACTTATGTCGTTTCGAGTTATGTCGTTCCCGATTATACGTCGCTTGTTAAAAAAGTATATGGAAAAATANGTCCATGACTTCATTTTCGATATACAGAGATAAGCCTATTAAAGCAGGATTTCCCAACGGGTTGATATTGACCCATTAGATGTAGATGAAAGTTTGAGAGTGATTGCAAAACTTTGCAAATATAAAAAAAATTATTTTAAAACATTTAAAATTTTACACATTTTGTTTTTCTCTTAAATAAATGTAGGAAGATGTCTTTTAAAAATTATGCAAGAGGTTATGGCATATATATTATACAGTATATAATATAATATTGAAGGGAACCGACAAAAAAAGTTTTCTTAAAAGGGTCAATACATATAAAAAGATGAGAACTCTTCTATTAAAGTGACAATGTTCATGCTCTCTGTTGTGACTGAGTGCACCTAAAGAAAATTAGGGCTAGGGTCAAAAATAAAAACAGCATTGCATGTGCCAGTGTGCCTAACGAAAAATAAGTGCAAAAAATGAACAAAACAATTGATGGCAATTGTTTTGTTCTTGGATCGTCTCTCCATACCCAGCAAGTGCAAGATCATGTTTCCCATGGCCTGCAGGTACAAGGACTGTCTCTCTTGTGGTTAGCAGGTACAAGGATAGCCTTATTTGTGGTGGCAAGTGCAAAGTTCACCTGTCTGCATCTGTCAGGTACAAAGATTGTCTCTTCTGTGCCTAACTAGTGCAGGGATCACTTCTTTCTTTCTGGCTCTGCCCCAATTCTATTATGATATGATGAAGTCACACAACATCCTAGTATGTAATTATTAATTAAAAGTAGTATAAAAATAGTCAGAATTTGGATGATGTTATGAAATAATATTTAAAGATTCTGACAGATAAAGTGCAAAAAATGCAACCATATTTTAAGAAATGAATTTAAATATAAAAAGAATTACATGGGACATTGTTATGTTAAATTTTGGTAAACAGGTAAAACTGATCAGTTACATTAAATTTGAAGAAACAATATCTAACTACCTAAAAGATTTTACATATATTTGACAAGTATGTAATTTATTTTAAATCTAATCAAACTGGGTAAAATAAAAATAATGTCTACTGTAAAATAGATGCTGTGAATATTGTCTAATCACCACCTTTGAGTAAGCATTTGACTATAGTACTATTATTTAGTTGTGACAATAGCTTTATAGTAATTGTATCATAGATCTTTATTTTTTATAATGTTTTATAGATATCCTAGTAGAACCAGTCCTACCAAGTTAGAAGTGTTTAATCTTATTAAAGAATCATTTGAATTACATGAAGTTACAATGGATGATCTAATAGCGATTATTCCAATAACTAAATCACAGTATCCAACAATTAAATTAATTATTAAAAATTCTCAAATAAGAGATTATATTTATTCGAGTTTTATAAAAATGAAACAACAAAATCTATCGAATCTATGGAAAGAAACTCAAATTTCACAGGACCTCACTAAAAGATCTAGATTAAGACGAAAACAATTAATTCCTTTTTTAAGCGAGTTAAAGAAAGCAGGTAAATATCCTAAACTCCGAGGTGATTCTATTCTGTTGGGCAATTATTCTTTGACGTATAGCNATAGCAGATTTAATTAATAAATAATACTTATGTTTAATTTGAAGTTTTAAGTTATTTGTAATCAGTTGTTTGTGAATATAGAAAAGGATACAATTTTATTATAAGCATTAAATAAATGTTCAACATTTTCTGAAAATTTATTGCATTCTTCCTATAAATATATTAATTTGATTTTAATTAAAAGAAATTTAATCACTTAAAAAATTAAAATTAAGCTTACCTGTTGATTAAGTTGTGTATTTGCTAATTCACAAAGTTTTGGTGAAAAACTTGGTGCAGCTGAAAAGCATCAAAAATATTAATTTATAAGACCATAGTAAAATACATCTCAGAAAATATTACTTTTCATATTTTCAAGATTTTAAAATTTAATTATTATGTCAATATTTTCTATGAAAAGATACAAGTTCTATTCTATATAAAATGACTTATCATCAGCTTCATAAATTAAAAGCCAACTTTCCATCTTTATTTACTTTTTTAATCTGAAAAAAATTGTGTTTGAAACAAAATATGAATTATGTACTGTAAAGAATTCTTATATTTGAGCTATCAAAAACATCTAATGGAAATAACCAAAAGAAATTACATATTAAAAAACCTAAGTAAACAATAAATAACCATCAAAATATGCAAATCAAAAGGATTAATTTCTCTATAAAATCAATATCAACATTTATTCTAATGCATTTAACACTTAGAAAACTAGTTTTAACACTTAGAAATCTAGTTCATGGCTAGATACAATTTGTTCCGAAAACTTTTAACTTAAAGCATTAAATGCAACTTTCAATGCTTCTTGTAATGATATGCTATTGCAACATATATTTTCATCTCATATTTTTCTTGAATAAGGTATTTGATAGATTATCTTATGTTTGTGACTGGTTTGAAATAAATGTTCTGAAAATTAAAAAATTGTTTTTGAATGAACTACATTATTTCATTTTTATAAAAAAATGTTTCCACTGAAGTATTCTTTAAGTGAATTAGATAGCTGAAAATTGCCAAATTGAAATCCAAAGCACTTCACTATACCAGAAATATCAAACAAACTAAAAAATAATAAAACAAATGTTTTTGATGATTTTTTGATTTTTGTCATCTTTAGATTAAAGACCATTGAATATGTACGTGAAAATTTGAATGTTAATTTAAAAACACATGAAACAATTGTTTGATTCTGTATTTTCTTTATTATGAAATGCCAAAGACCTTATCAACACAGAATTCATCTGGGGCATATTCCATTCCCATTATAGACAACAGATTAAACAAGAAATGGGTCTACATAGGAGCAATGACTGAATCTCTTAATGAGCGTATCAACAAGCACAATTATTCTATTCAAAAGGGCATTTCTACTGCAGTGTTAGTGAAATTTGCATCCAAAAACAATAAAAGGTACTTCATAATAAAACAAGTTTAATACACCTAGTAGGAACTGGACCAATCTGAAACATCCAGAGATACTCAAAATATACAAAGCTAATTTTCGGAACATGGCCACAAATTACAGAGATGCTGAAACATTCTGCAAAGTGCTCCATGCTTTGCAGAATTGTTTAGTAA